ATTTTTTATTAAATACGTGTGTATATACATATGAATATAATTTCTTATTTTTTAACAATTTACATTTTTTTCTATGAGAAGAGCAAAAGGTAAAGAAAATAGTTATTGACTTGTTCTCGTGTTCCTTTGTTATTTGTTGAGGTAATAGAGCACTTTTGAATTTTAATAGCACAACACACTCCTGCATCATGATCAATTATAGATTTTCTTTGAAAGTAATTTGTTAAAGTGTTGAAAATTGCCAGCTTTTCTTGTATAAAGGAGTAGATTCTGGATTAGGTATTTTCATTCTTCCATCAATTATATATTCCTGAATTTGAAAGCATCAGAGTGATAGGTAAAGGTATGAATTATCACAACCTACAGACTACTCTTCCTATAACCTCTTCCTTACCCTTGAGGACTGCGGAGTCTGGATATTCCTCATGTAGTAAGGCAGGAAAAAGTCATTGGTTTGACGGGTTCCATTTATAAATCTTCACAAATCGATCTTTTACTTACTCTTTTTTTTTTGCAGTACTAGGATTTGAACTCAGGGCCTCACACTTGCTAGGCAGGTGCTCTACCACTTGAGCCACTCCAGTCCCTTTCACTCACTCTTTATTAACATTCTTACCTCAGTTTAATGTCATGAAATAAAATCATGAGGTTGTTGGCATTTTCCATTTTGTGTTAAGTTCTCTGTTTTCTTAAAGAAGCACAGCTTTTTATCCTTTTCTGCCATATATGTTAATATTCAATCTCTTATCAACTTGAAAATGTTAAAGACCATTTTATTCCTGAGACATCATCATTTCCATTTGCTCATCCAGGAAGTTAATCCAGAATTTGATTCCAATGCTGTAGTTTTTAGATTGCTGCTCAAATCTTGCTATAATTGTATGGGATTCGTCTTTTCTTGCTCTATTCCAGTCAGCCTACATAAGGACCATGATTGACCTAGACTCTACATTGCTCCTACTACTGTGTCAGTTTTAAAGAGCATCTTTAGCATATTGGCCTTGATAAGAAGAAAACGGGTGGTGGGGGCAGATATAGTCAACTTGCATTACTGCAACTCAGAAGAACATCAAGAGGCACTGGGAAAGAGGGGATGAAAATAGAGACTACACCCTGTGGGTGATCCTCAAGGTCACCATGTATCTTAGGAGTAGAAAACTAAGAATTACACTTTCCCCCAATTGCCACCAGCAAGGCATGAGATATGTTCCATAAAAGAGACACCAGATGATCTCTGACAGCACAAGACACTATTGAGTCTATGGCAGGAGTGGGCAGGAGTGTGGGCTTGGCAGGAGACAGTGAGATTTGAGCAGATCCACCCGGGCTTTTCCTGTGTGTCATTCGCACTATTGCTCTTGACATTCATGATGGTTTCCTGCAATTTTGCATTTCCTATTTTCCTCAATGCTAGTGGAGACTTCCCCCAAACTTCACTTCTTCAACTGTTCCACTGGATTTTATCACTTTAATTTTCTGTATGAAATAAACTTCTGCTAGAAATATTTACAACGGTTTCTTCTAGCTATCTGAATCACAACTGATATACTTCACTGGTTCCTCCATTCTTCCCTGCTGGCAAAGTCCTAGGTAATTTTGAGTGAGCCATTAATGAAATCTATGCATACAGCCCTTTTTATGCATACACATAACTACCTTTAGTGACTTTCAAAAAACCCAATATGATCCTTTAAAAAATATTCATCTTTATTGGCCTCTTGTATTCTAAAACCTGATTTTCCTGAAGATATATGATAAAATGGCCTCACAAACATGCAGATCTATATTCAAATCTTGGCTTTACTATTTACTTTAGAACTCAGTCTTCTTGATGGATGTTTATAGAATACTAACTTAGCTACAGGAATTGTAAATAGCTGCGAGTCTATATTGTTTAAAACAGGCCCTCTCCCTGCTCTGATGGTGCTTAAAATCCAGCAGCAGAGATTAGAGGAAAGATAATTTTTTTATAAGATAAAACATATAGGGGCTCAGGACCAGACATGGTGGTAGCTGCTACTCAGGAGGTGGATACTGAGGAGAGTTCAAGGTCAGCCCAGGCAAAAAGTTTGCTAGACCCCATCTCAAGAAATAAGGACAGTATATGTCTGTAATACCAGCTACATGGGAAGTATAGGTAAGAGAATTGTGATTGAAGGCCTAAAGCAAAAGGTATGAAACCATGTTTGAAAAATAACCAAAGTAAAAATGACTAGGGGCATGGCTCAAGTGGTAGAGCACCTACCTAGTAAACAAGAGGTCCAGAGTTCAAGGACCCCAGTACCAAAAAAGAAAACCATTCAGGTACAGTCAGTACTAAACAGCCTTCTAAGTCATAAAAATACCTTGATCTTAGGGCTGGATACTGTGGCTCACTCCTGTAATCACAGCTACTTGGGAAGCCAAGATAAGAGGATTGTGGTACGTTGACTTCCCAGGGAAAAAGTTAGTGAAATTCTATGTCAAAGAATAAGCTGATTTGGTGGTGCATGTCTGTAATCCCAGCTAAGCAGGAGGCATAGATGAGAGGATGCTAGTCCATAGCCAGTCCTGGGCAAACTGCAAGACAATGTCTGAGAAATAAATAAAGCAAAGAGTACTGGATGTGTTACTCAAGTGGTAGAAAGCTAATGGACAAGGACTTGAGTTCAAACCCCAGTAACACCACACAAACTCACACACTCACACACACACACACACACACACACACATACGCAGTAAGAATTGTAAGGAGACATTGATGAGTTTTAGTCAGAAGAATGGTTTGATAAAATCTGAGTCTGAGAAATTGCTCAGGATAGTAGGTAAAACTTGGATTATATGAGATGACAAGATATAGAAAGAACAATTAATATAGTTGAGGGATTATAGGTGGCTGGGAGACAATCATAATTAGCACTATGGAGATGGAGAAAGTAAATCAATTTAAGAAACATCTAGGAATTATAATGAGAAGCAGGATTTCATTGGGTTTGTGGCATAAAGACAAGAAGAACCCAGTTCAGCAGAGCCATGACTGGTACCAGGTGGCAATGGAGTGGTGTGTGCACTAGAATGACAAGCTCCATCTGGGAAATGTTGGATGTGGTGTTCTGGTGGGCCCAGGCACACATGTTTCACCAGCTGGTAGAAATACAGGTCTGAAGTTCAAAAGAAAAATCTGGTCTGAAAATAAAAATCTGAGCATTCTCAGAACATGGAGTGTAGTCTCAGTCCTAGGATTGGGTCCAGTGACAAGGTCAGGTACAGAATGGAAGAGGAGCTAGACCCAAATTCCACACAACTTCTTTCATTTCCCAAATTCTTTTTATTTCAACATTAAAATCACCACATGAAAAGATATTTTATTAATGAATTGAGATACTTAATTGGACCAGACATATCTTATTGAGTCATAAATGTAATATTAATAGTTCACTATGTGAGCAGGAGACAGTAGCGCAAACATTTCTCACGTGTAAGAGTTTCTTAAGTGGGACAACATCTCACTACAGTTTCTATTAACAACTGGAACAAAGTAACTTCCTTCCATGTAAAATGCAGAGAGCTTCTCCTTACACAGCTATGCTGAGTTCAAGAGAAAAATGAATTTAGTTATATTGAATATTTCATATATACAGAATTCTGTTGACAAAAATAGTCTTTTTTTCCACCTAAGCTAATTCCTATTGTTTTCATTACTTTTCAGTACTCCAAAAGTATAGTTTACTTCAAGACCAATCTTTTATTTCTAGCACAGAAGGAAATTAATAAGACATATAATATGAATTTAAACTATATCCATAAAATTAGTGTTATAACTAAGTATAATACTCACATTGAATTTACCTAAAATGTAAGCAATACATTCACAAATTCTGTCATATTTACAAAAATAGCTGAACTTAGTCTTCCAAATAGCATCCAAAGAAATACAACTAATTTCATATATTTATTTTTTCCTGAACATAATAGAGTTTTAAGCTTCTTTGGTTGGGTACTGTTAAAATAAAAATCGTATTCATAAAATCATTAAATGAAAAATAATATAGCATCTACATTCCACTGCCTATAGGTATACTTTTATTATGTACATATTCATGTTATCTAAAAAATAGATAATTATTTTGAAAAGGGAAAACTTACGTGAAATTGGTTGACATGTAACATTTGCAAGGTGGAATTTTTCCGAAGCTTTTAGTATTTCTTACCAGATGAGTTCATTTTAATGAAATTATATTTATTTGGAATGAATGGGTCCATTGAAGATAAATTCCAAAGAAAATAACACTGCAGAGTTCTGTAAAATTATGAGAGCAATTTACCTGGCAAACCATGAGATTTCATAAAGTGAGACAAAAAGTATTTTCTAGTCTTATTTCATTTTTAGTGCAAACTTTGCTCCAACACAGGAATAATAACAGAAATCATATAGGTTTAAAAAGCTGTAACAATCAGCAATGATGAAAAGGATTGAGCTGTTTACTTGTTATCTAAATTTGAATAAGGGAGGAATAACTTGAAACAAAAACTGAACAATGGTTTATATTTCTTGAAATTTTGAGAACATCAACTTTGATTCTGAGTTGAAAGAAATCTCTCCAAATGTGCATTTGATTTGAAGAACAATTTCTCAGTGAACATTAATTCTCCCCATCATTGCCAAAAGATTAATTATCTAGCAGATTGCAAATTTCAGTTTATTCCCTTGAGGTCATTCTGAAGTCATTCAATTAGTTATTAATGTTTAATGATAGTGTTCTCTTTTGAACTTTACCTACAGGAAGAATAAAACCATGGCTGTTTGGAGAAATTTGCATCCAGTAGCCTTTCCATTGGATGGGGAGGGAGCAGAGAAGTACACAACACACCCAGGCAGATCCCAAGGCAGTTTGAGAGTCAACTTATTTACCAAGGCCTTTGAGTCATGCTAAATGCTCATTCTTCCCTAGGTTTCCTTCACTCTGGGTAAACAGTCAAAAGCATTTCTCTGCTTTAACTTACAATGTAACCTACCTATCCTTAAATTCAAGAATTTTCCCATAGGCTCTGCCAGCCAGGATTTCCACTGCCAAAGGAGACTTCCATTCAGATGCTGTTTCATCCCTAAAGTGGGAGGTCATCATGCACCCCCAAACCTTCCTCGACCAGGTTAGTAGCTCTGGTCAGAATTCATCTGTGTTTTCACCCCTGCTTCCTTAGACGTTGGTAGCCTCTGAGAAAGATTCAAGGGGACCATTGTTCTTTTTGACTTCCAGATTCTTTTTAGCCTTGAAGTTCATTGACACCTCTGAATGAATAGCATCCAACCTCTGCTCACAGCGAAAGGCTGAGAGAAAAGCCTTTCTGTAGTTGCTGTTCATCCAGCCATAGAGAAGGGGGTTAGCAAAGGTAGAGCACATGGCAATGATGTGGAAGACCGTGAAGATGAGTTTGTACTCCTTCAGGTCCAAGACATGGTTGTCAATGTCCACAGCAAGTTGGAAGGCATGGAGGGGCAACCAGCTGACCGCAAACACCACCACCACACACACCAGCATTTTGGTGGTTTTTTGTCTTCGCTGATGGTAGTGGTCACTTGCAGCTCCAGGGCTCACATGGTTTTTCAGTTTACTCCAGATACGAGTATAGGAGAAAGAGATGATGCCCAGAGGCAGAACATACAGGATTAACAAGGAAGAAAGGCTATAGATAGTGCCATACATGCTCTTCTCCTCACCAGGCCACTTTTCAGTACACGCTGTGATCTCAAAGTCTGGAATAATCTCAATCAATGAATACTCCCGAAAGATGGCCAGAGGACTCGCCAGCAGGGCACTGATGCCCCAGGCCAAGCCAATAATCAGGAAGCTGATGCGTTTGGAGATCTTGCTCTCCAGGTGGTAGATGATGCACTGATACCTGTCCAGGGCAATTACTGTCAAGGTGATTGTGGACACTTGCACTGCCAGGCCCTGGGCATAGGGTACCAGGTGGCACAGGACAGGACCCATTTTCCACTCCCCCATTAAGGTATAGGTGAGTGTAAATGGTAGGCACAGGGTATTCACCAAAAGATCTGCCACAGCCAGATTAGCAATGAAAAAGTTGGTTACTGTGCGCATGCTCTTGAACTTGACCACCACATGGATCACCAAGGAGTTGCCAACTACCCCAAGCAAAATGATGGAGCAATAGGCCAGTATGAGAACAACCCGCACCTCAGTCAGCTTGGTGCTGTCTATGAGCTGTGGCTCAGGGTCAGGGGCCAGCTCCCCTCTAGGGGTGGTGTGTCCTGACCCATACTGCTCCACCTTCACTTCTTCCACTGTCTGGTTCTCATCTGTCTCAGTACCTACTGGGCCCATGTTCAGCACGGTTCCACTTGGCCTGCAAGTAGCAAAAGAAATGGTCATAATGAAATCCAGCTTAAAAATTTTCCAAGAACGCTAATAAAAAGGGGGACTGGGGAGATAGGGATAAGAAAGAGTAATGGCAGTGAATATGATCAGAGTATGTTATATGTATGCATGCATGGGTAGAAAAATCAAAATGAAGTCCCTTACTCTGTACAACTGATATATGTTGATAAAAAAGTGCCAAAAAATATCCTACACTAAAGAGAAAGAAGAACATAATGAAACAAGGAAAACGCAAGGGGAATCAAAGAAATATCCCAAAGGAACTGGTTTAGTTTTAGTTGGTGGTCAGTTTAGCTGTTTCTGAGCCCCCAAATTGCACATCGTGTAACATGTCCTTGAATAACTCCATTCACAAATATGAATCCATTAAATCAGGTTCCTAAAATGTATATAATGGTGGGAAAATGCAATTTTTTCAAGGAACACTACCAAATGGATTCCAAGCATTTTAAGTCTAAAGAATATTATAAACTATCAATTTTTAACAATTATAATTTGCTATTTGCCAAATTAATTTTATCTTTTTAAAAACATCTTTATTAGTTTATAATAATACCAGAGGTTCCATTGTGACATTTCCATTAATGCATATAATATACCCTGGTTTGGCTCATCCCCTCCATTGTTCTCCCTCTTCTCCCTTCTCAAAATGGATTCCACAGGTTTCAATGTTCCATATTCATGCATCTATAGAAACTACATCAAGCATATTTACCCTCCTCTTAACATATCCTATTCTACATTTTGTCCTTCACTGTTTAAGTGTATGCTCATTTTTCACTGGGGGTTTGCCTTGGTTTTCACCAATATATATGTATATATACATATATACATATGTATATATATAGTACTTTAATATATATGTTATATATATGTTTTACAAATATATATATATATATAGTCTAACCCCCTCTGTCACTCTTGTTTACCTCTTTCCCCTTACTCTGCATTGTTCAACAGTTTTCAGCATGTTTCCTTGTGTCTTGCTCCTTCACAGATGTGATGTTTTTCCATATTATTCACTCTATCATTCTCTTCTTTTTTACCTCTCCCCCTATTACCTCTAACAATTCCACTATTAGAAATGTGCTCTGTATATAAATGCATATATTATGATGCTTGTATTTGTATTCATTAAATTAATTTTAAAGAGAGTTTTTCTCTTCACTGTTTTAAACATATTAACATACGGGAAAAACTGTATATGAAGAGGAAAAATAAATTCCTGTATGCAATGTAAACTTTGGAAGTATAAAAGAAATCAAACTGTGGATTCTGTTTCATCACCATATTTTCTTTTCTTCTTCCTTCCTTCCTTCCTTCCTTCCTTCCTTCCACATTACTGGGAATTGAACTCAGGTACTTCAAGTTAATAGGCATGTACTCTACCACTTAAGTCACTGCTCCTCACCAGTCCTTTGCTTTTAATTGTTTTTCATATAGAGTCTTGGTCTTTTGCCTGTGCTTGCCTGAGATTGTGACCATCCTAATTCTGCCTCCCAAGTAGCTGAAACCATAGGCTTTGGCCATCACACCCAGCTCATTTTTGAGATAGGGTCTCCCTAACTCTTGCCCAGGTTGAACTCAAACTACGATCCTATCTTGGCATCCCAAGTAACTGGAATTACAGGTACATGACACCACGCTTGTATACTGACATACACACTAGAGAATATGGCAAAGGGTTGGCTGTGGTGGAATGCACCAATAACAGATAGCCTGTAGAGAACACTTTCTTTTTTGAATGATCAGAAATAAACCTCCCATGTAACAGCAAAATCCTACACAGCTACTATCTGAAAAATATGCCAAAACATGAGTTCCATTTCCCTCTAGATACTAAATATAAAACTTGTGTTTCCCCCACCTCAACACTTTTCCCTCTCTGTGATCTACTTCAGTGAATTCTGTCCCCACTGATTAAGGTACTTAGATGTTAAAAAGTGGTAACCACTCTAGGCTTTCTTATCTCCTTTAACCCCAAGACTTTAAAGAACCCTCAGACTGGTCTCTTACATAGTTCTCCCACCTGTCTCTTCTCGTAATTCTACTGCATTGGTTTTTTCTTCTTAATTTCTTACTATAGGTACTCTAATAGTCTTATAACTTATTTTCTTTCCTTTTTTGCTTTCTTTCATTGACTCATCCACTCAATTAACAGACAAACAGATAAAACCAGGGATGAATGCCACATAATGGCACTTAACACTTATTAAAACATGTATTCAGCAAATCTTTAAAAAAAACCCTGTGTCACGAATGAGGATTTGTGCTGGGTAGACAGATAGCAGCATAGTACCTCTACTTCAAGGCTCTTATGTTTTACTAGACAGACCTTACTATAACATTAAATGGTTTTTCTGAAATTCAAATGTGATATTAGTTTCCCTAATGTCCCCAGATTGCTTAGAATAATATAACACATTAGTTTCTAATATTTCTGTTTTTAAATGCAAAAGAAATTCAGAAACAACATCCTTGTGACTATATTCATGACAAAATGCTGCTGTATTGATTCAGAACGCTGAGTTTGGTTTTTGAATTGTAGCATCTACTATCATTGGTAGATGAATCATATTTGTTCAGTCCACAGACAATGCCTGGGTAGACTTGTGTGCCCCAGCTCCATTGTCCAATTTTCCCTGCTCTCTTCTGTTCTATAAGACAGTAGGAGTCAGCCACACAGGACACTTTCAGTCTCCCAAGGCAGACATTCTGGTTGAGTCAAGTCACTGAGAGGTAGGGGAAAGTAATTAAAGAACAGGACCAGAGGGAGAAAGAAGATACTGCATACCTGTCCCTTCCTCCCTGCTCTGAGCAGTGCTTCAGCAGCTCATCCATGGCTCTGGTTTCCACAGGGCAGATCCCTTTTATGATTCTGTTTCCAGCAATGGCCTTGGTTCCTGCACCTTGGTCACACTGCCTCCTCTCCATGTCCCTCCCGCTGGAGGTAGCAGTGACTCCTGTTCTTGCTAATCCCTGAGTAGCCCCAATATCCCATCTTAGTGGCTCCCCTCACTTGTGCAACCAGTTTTCAGCATTTGATTCCTCCTCTTTTACATTCTTGAATAGGATGTGTATTATACAGCCTTCTCAAAGCACACATTCATTAATTTGTTCTCCCAGTAAAACGCCAGCACCCACACAGGATGGTAACACTGGACTATGGAAGAATATCCCAACTCCTTAGTATGACATCCAAGGCTTGACATTATCCCTGCCTACTCCTCTGGCCTCATGCCTCTTGACAGCCCAATATCCATCTTCCACTTCTATCACACTGTGTTACTCCAAGTTCCCACAACCTTGACCTTTCTCATGTCTCTCTGCCCTCGTGTACTGAGCAGTCTGTCAGTTATCCCAACAACCCATGCTAACTTTTAAAACTGCACACACCACACACCATATGTGATTGCTTTCCTTTGTCCACCCCACCACAGCAATCTCTTTGAAGACAGAAACTGGGTCTTCTTCACCCATTGTTTGACCCCCCACATACTACCTAGTACATTAAAGGTACTCAATAATTTGTCAGAACAAACATAAAGCTAAAGGAAAGCACAATTTTCATCCTGTCCTTTACTGAAGACAACTCATTGCTATGATATGACATCCTTATTCTGATTTCCCTGTTCTTAATAAGACAACTGCTTCTATAAGAAAGTTATCCTAAGATGGTCTTAGTCAATTACTAATGATAACCTTTTAAACTGTATACACCATAAAGAAACTTTTCTCAAATGTCTCTCTCCATTTCTTTTCTTACTCCTCACTTTTCTTTCTCCCTACCCCTCACTTTTCTCCTTCCACCTTCTTTCTCTCACACACATAGACATAAACCATGCCCCTCAGAGGAACCTTACTACTGAGACGCTCTTGGACATTTTCATGTCTGTGTGTTTGCTATATTGATGTACTCAAATTCTCTCCACATAAATTTCAAATAGAATGTTCCAAAGGCACTGGGCCCTCATTCCCATTTGCCTCCATTCTTTAATAACTAGAGAAAATTGGAAAAAACCATTCAAATCATGGCATGTATATTTGATAAGCTATAGAATTTCCCTCAGATGGAGAAAGAAACTAACTTGACAAAGCGCAGTCAGTTCAGACAAGTCATTAACAGAATTAATGAGACTCCAAAAGTCTGGAGGTTGTAGCAGACTAAATTGAGAATAAATTTGAGATTGAAGAATACTGGGAAGAGGAGTGTATTTGATTTGTGGACTTATTTTACTCTTTTGTGTCAGTTTTATTTTTTTATTTCAAAGCCCTTTTATTTACAATATCTCTGACCAACAGGCTCAGAGATATTAACATATGCACACTACTGGCCTTCAGTCAGGTCAAAGTGGTAACTAGATCAGAGAAAGCATCATTTCATGACAGCACTGGAAAAGTGGAAGGGGAAAGAGAGCACAAAGAAAAACTTGCCATATTAGAAATTCCAAAGTATAAAATTAAATCATAAGCAGGTGAAGGAAAAACCTTTCCTTGAAGTAAGGCAAACTGAGACAGACTATTCAAGAAATTTAAGAAATGCTGAATAGCAATACCGTTTTCTTAAATAAGTGAATCTTTAGATATTTTGTTATAGAAACATTTCTTTGAAGAATAGGAAAAGTGTTTGGGGTTTTGTTTTTTCTGAGTTTCAAGTGAGTCACAGAGAAGTTGACATTCATGTTTATATCTGGGCTTTGCAACAGTTCTTTCTGAAACTATTGTCCCAGGTTGGTCTTAGTAAAGCTTGGCATCTTACCAATCACATCTTCCAGGAATCCCCCACCCCACACCAGGGAGAAACTGCATACAACAAGCCATACTCCTTACAGTTGCCTTCACCTGCTTGCTAGTCCTCGGATGTGTGGAGAGTCGACTTTCGAGAATGCTGCATACAATACATGATTGCCTGCCTAAATAGACACTGACTAATCTGATAAAAAGTCCCAGGATATCTCACTTTCATGTATTCCACTTTC